CACAGATGATTCAGATCTGATTGGTTTGGGGGTTTTTTAAAGCATGTTTAAGAAGAACAAGGCTTTGTTCCAATCAGGAATCCAGTCTTTTTTATTTTCTACATTCTAGCACTGTCTTTTGTTAAGCCGAACATTTCCACTCAAAAAAATTGGATTCTTCACTTTTCAAGAATGACAATATAATGTCATGCTGGATTTGAGTTTCTTTACCCACATGCAGGTTTAGACATCAGACCGGAAGGTTTTTGGTTCAAAGATTTATTTACAGTTATTATAGAATATGTTGAGCCTAAGTTGTCCTCTGGTTTCGGGAGCGGCTGGGCGGCTCAGGTACTGCTTAGAGAGGGGAGAGGTTAGTAGGAGCGGGAGTGAGAGGATCTTGACAGGGAAGTGGAGGGAAGGGCTTACAGATCATCTGATGGAGGATTGCCGAGGAGGAGGTAGGATCCGTTGGTGCAAAGGCTCCGAGAAGGTTGCGGGCTCAGGCGGCAGACGAGAGCGTTTAGTCCGGAGGGCGATCGGTGTCAGTGTTCGGGTGGGCGTGGTTACTTAGCTGGATCCAGGCAGAGCATCCAAAATCTGAGAAAAAACAATAAAGATTAACTTAGTCCTTAGACAACGTGAGGCTTGGCAAACCTTGGGATTGACTCTGACCAACAAGTGGGACCATCGAGCGATGAATGGCTGCTCCACCGCTTCTTAAGAATCCTGCAGCCGATTTCAGAAATCCGCTTCAGGTGCGTCAGCCTGCCGGAACGCTCCCACGAAGATTGTCTATTCGGAGGAGCACTCACACCAACTTGAATCCTAACATTACCCCTCCCTCAATGACCGCCACCCGGCGGTCCCGAGGAACCCGAAGCTCTGGTGGCATGAAACCTCCTCAGAACCGACTTGTCCAGAATAAAAGACCTGGGAACCCAGGAGCGTTCCTCCGGGCCGTAACCTTTCCAATCCACCAGATATTGAAAACCCCTGCCCCTCCGACGTACGTCAAGGATTTTATTAATAGTAGGCCGGACCCCCATCAATATAGCGGACGGGAGGAGGGGAGCCAACTGGAGGGCAAAGCGGGCTAGACCTCACAGGCTTCAGTAGGGAAACATGAAACACGGGATGAACCCTGAGAGAAGGTGGGAGCCTGAGTCTGACCGCAGCGGGGTTCACAATAGCCTGGATCTCAAACGGACCTAAATACTTAGGAGATAATTTCTTAGATGCAGCTTTTAGGGGAATGTCTTTGGCCGACAGCCAAACCCTCTGACCCGGCCTGTAAACAGGAGCTTGACGTCTCTTCCTGTCCGCAAAGCGGCGATTCTGGGCAGCGGTGCGATTCAATGCTGCAGTAGCATCCCTCCAAATGCGCTGGCACTTCCGAATGTGGTGTTGAGCTGACGTGACGGCATTCCGGGATTCGTCCGATGGGAGGAGAGGAGGCTGATAACCTAGTGAACATTCAAATGGGGACAAACCAGAAGCGGAAGAAACGTGGCTGTTATGTGCATACTCAACCCAGGGCAGCTGGGAGGACCATGAGGAGGGGTTGGAGGAGCACAGGCAGCGAAGTGTAGATTCCATCTCCTGATTCATGCGCTCCGTTTGCCCATTGGTCTGAGGATGAAACCCAGAAGATAAAGATACCTTGGCCCCAAGCGCGCCACAAAAGTCTTTCCATACCTTCGAGATAAACTGGGGTCCCCTGTCAGATAGAATTTCCCTCGGAATCCCATGGAGCCTAAAAACATGCTTAATAAGCAAAAGAGCAGTTTCCGCAGCAGACGGCAATTTTTTAAGGGGCACAAGGTGACACGCCTTGGAAAAACGGTCTACGATGGTAAGTATGACTGTGAACCCCTTAGAAGGGGGCAGGCCGGTGACAAAATCAAGAGCAATATGGGACCAAGGACGTCCCGGAACGGGTAAGGGCTGCAAAAGCCCACTGGGAAGTTGATGGCTGGACTTGTTCTTAGCGCAGGAGGGGCAGGCCGAAACATACTCTTTCACATCCTTATGAAGGGACGGCCACCAAAAGGAGCGCCTGATTAATGCCGCGGTCCGACTGGCGCCCGGGTGACCAGAAAAACGGGAAGCGTGAGCCCAATGGATCAGACGGGAGCGAACAGAAGAAGGAGCGTAAATTCGACCCGGAGGACCAGTACCTGGATCAGGATCCGACTGCTGAGCTTTGAGGACCTGGTCAGAGATGTCCCAGGAAACCCCCCCCATTATGCATGAGCGAGGAACTATGGTGTCCACAATAGGGTCCTCATCATCAGAGGAGAATTGTCGGGAGAGAGCATCTGGTTTCACATTCTTAGAACCTGGTCTATATGAAATGATAAAGTTGAATCTGGAAAAAAAAGAGACCATCTTGACTGTCGCGGATTCAACCGTTTAGCCGTCTGCAGATAGGATAAATTTTTGTGATCGGTCCAAACCACAATCGGAAGCTCAGCCCCCTCCAACCAGTGGCGCCACTCTTCAAAAGCCATTTTAATCGCCAACAACTCCCGGTCCCCCACGTCATAGTTTCTTTCTGAAGGAAAGTCGGCGAGAAAAAAAGGCGCACGGATGCATCTTGTGATCAGAAGGCGAGGTTTGAGATAACACCGCCCCCACCCCTGAATCGGAAGCATCCACTTCCAACGTGAATTGCCTAGTGGGGTCTGGCTGGATCAGGACCGGGGCATTAGCGAATTTCTTTTTCAGAGCCGAAAACGCTGCGTCAGCTTCCGGAGTCCATGAGAACTGGACCTTGGTGGACGTAAGACTGGTCATGGGGGCCGCAGTCTGACTGTAATTACGGACAAACCTTCGATAAAATTAGCAAACCCCAAAAAACGTTGTAGTTGCTTGCGAGAAGATGGGGTCGGCCAATCCAAAACTGCGCGAATTCTCCCGGGATCCGGCTTCACCTGCCCACTCTCCAAAATGAACCCCAGGAACGAGATGGAAGGCACATGAAACTCGCATTTTTCCGCTTTAACATACAAACTATTTTCTAAAAGACGCTGTAGGACCAACCTTACATGCCGTTTATGTTCCGCCAGGGTCTCAGAAAAAATCAGGATGTCGTCCAGGTAAACAAACACAAATTGATCCAGAAAATCACGCAACACGTCATTGATAAGGGACTGGAAAACGGCCGGGGCATTCGTCAGACCGAAAGGCATGACCAGATATTCGAAATGGCCCAGCGGGGTTTTGAACGCCGTTTTCCATTCATCACCTTCACGGATGCGCACCAGATGGTAAGCGTTTCGTAGGTCCAATTTAGTAAACACGGTGGCACCCTGTACCGGTTCAAAAGCTGATGTGAGAAGGGGAAGGGGATACTTATTTTTAACCGTGATCTGATTAAGACACTTATAATCAATACATGGTCTGAGAGAGCCGTCTTTCTTAGACACAAAAAAAAATCCCGCCCCAGCGGAGACGTGGAGGGGCGAATAATGCCTGCAGCGCGGGACTCGTTAATATATTTTAGCATGCTCTCCCTCTGGCTTAGAAATGTTATAAAGTCGACTGGAGGGCAACGGAGCACCGGGAAGGAGATCAATAGCACAGTCATAGGGGCGGTGGGGGGAAGTGACAGTGCTTTATTTTTCTGAAAAACCATTTTCAAATCATGATATTCAGGGGGAATCTTGGACAGGTCCAGAATGTCCTCCTCATCCTCCCGGGTGATGTCCAATTGTGGAGTCGTCTGGGCGGCCTGTAGACAGGTTGAGTGGCAGGTTCTGCTCCATGATTCCACTCTCCCCTCATTCCAATTAAGGTGAGGATTGTGCTGTCTCAGCCAAGGGAAACCCAGCACCAGAGGGGTCTGCGGAGAGGGAAACACATAGAAGATCAAAATCTCACGATGATTTCCTGAAACCAGAAGTTCAATGGGTTTAGTCTGTTGTGAAATGACGGGCAAGACTCCTCCATCCAGGGCGGAAACTTGGACCGGAACGGGGAGAGAAATTGTAGGAATATTTAGTTTCTTTACCAAATTTTCATCGATCAGGTTCTGCTCACATCCAGAATCAATTAGAGCCGATACGTTAACTGACCTTTGGTTGATGAAAAGGGATGCAGAAAGAGAAAGTCGGGAGATCAAACTGGAACAGCCACCCACCAGGACTCCCGTTATCACTGGTGGGCTCCGCCTTTTAACCGAGCCGGGCATACGGCGACGAAGTGGCCAGTAAGACCGCAATAGAAGCAGGCACGAGCTTCTAGTCGTCGTTGTCGTTCTGTGGGGGAAATTCTGGTGCGGCCGATCTGCATGGGCTCCTCGGAACAAGGCGTGTTCGGGATGGTTTCCATAGCAACCTCTGGTGCGAGTTTGTCTGAAAAAGGCACAGGTTTAAATGCTCTCTTCTCTCGGGACCTTCCTCTAAGTCTATTATCGACCTTAATAGCCAAAGCTATCAGGTTCTCCAAACTGGCTGGTTCATCCCTGCATGCCAGTTCATCTTTGAGAGTCTCATTGAGAGCCTGCATGAAGCCCCTTTGAGAGCTTCGTCATTCCAACCAGACGTGGCTGCTAGAGTGCGAAAATCAATGGCAAATTCAGCTACAGAACGGGACCCCTGCTTCAGGTTCCAAAGCTGATGCGAGATTTCTGAACTGGACTCTGCATAACCAAAAGTTTGCTTTAGCTCGTTCAAGAAGGTAGCAAAAGGTGTTTGTGAAAGAGATGAGAGGCTAAATTTAGCTTCTGCCCATCTCAGGGCTCTTCCCTTCAAAGTCCGATCATGTAAGCTATCTTGGCGGGGTCATCCGGAAATGAGCCTGGAGCTCTGCAAAATACAATAGAACACTGCAGAATGAATCCTCCACACTTTCCAATCTCTCCCGAATAATGTTCTGGTGTCGGGGGTGAAATCTCACGAGCTCGGAGCGACCCACCTGAAGCCGCTACCGCTATCTGCTCCACCCCCGGAGGAAGGACTGGGGCCGCTGCTCGGCTGTAATTTGAGGCTGAGGGTTTTGCTCCAGCCTGTGTGATAGTTCCGAGACTGTGGTTCTCAACTGATCCATCAGCTGGCCCTGGAAACTCTGCTGGTCTAATAAAGTGCGAAGCATAGCGTCATGGCGGGCTAGGAGTTCTGCTGAACTTAAACCGGGTCTTGTGTGAGAACCTGCTGGGTCAACATGGCTCGATGGTTCTGTCATGCTGGATTTGAGTTTCTTTACCCACATGCAGGTTTAGACATCAGACCGGAAGGTTTTTGGTTCAAAGATTTATTTACAGTTATTATAGAATATGTTGAGCCTAAGTTGTCCTCTGGTTTCGGGAGCGGCTGGGCGGCTCAGGTACTGCTTAGAGAGGGGAGAGGTTAGTAGGAGCGGGAGTGAGAGGATCTTGACAGGGAAGTGGAGGGAAGGGCTTACAGATCATCTGATGGAGGATTGCCGAGGAGGAGGTAGGATCCGTTGGTGCAAAGGCTCCGAGAAGGTTGCGGGCTCAGGCGGCAGACGAGAGCGTTTAGTCCGGAGGGCGATCGGTGTCAGTGTTCGGGTGGGCGTGGTTACTTAGCTGGATCCAGGCAGAGCATCCAAAATCTGAGAAAAAACAATAAAGATTAACTTAGTCCTTAGACAACGTGAGGCTTGGCAAACCTTGGGATTGACTCTGACCAACAAGTGGGACCATCGAGCGATGAATGGCTGCTCCACCGCTTCTTAAGAATCCTGCAGCCGATTTCAGAAATCCGCTTCAGGTGCGTCAGCCTGCCGGAACGCTCCCACGAAGATTGTCTATTCGGAGGAGCACTCACACCAACTTGAATCCTAACATATAATGGACAAAACAATAATTGAATTCTTATTTCAACCAAAAGCAAGTCAGAAAGAGATAATCCTTCTATTACTATTAATAATAATTATATCATATCTATGCTCTCTACGTCTCCGTATTTTGCCCTATGCATCATTTTCACTGCTTATGAGTATGATTAAATATAATATTTTAGTTCTAGTAAAAAAACATGACTATGCAGATGTGTTCTATATTACAAAGGAAGACATGTAATGAAGAAATCTTTAATAATCTCATACCTAATTATAACTTAAAAATCTGAGGGAGTTTGAGTTTTCAGATTTGCATGGTATTAACACTCAGATATCACAAATTGACCCACACTGCAGTGACAACAGCTTAGCTGTGTGCCAAGTTATCAGAAATCCTTTCCCAACACTCCTGGAGAAATGACAGCTCCAAGGCAGTGATTATTTCCGCAAGTATGTGTGAGTCCAAGTGCAGAAAAAGCTTCTTCTCTGCTGTTTAACTGTTGCGTCCTCATTTATACAATTGGATTATAGAAGTATCCCTCTAATTCCTAACAGTTCCCAAAGATTTAATATGCAACCGGAATTTGATCCACGCAGCAGTTTGGAACCTCATGATTTACATCTTGTGACCTTCGGTTAGAAAACATAGAACATCGTAATGTTTCTGGACAGGGCTGAATAACTGTCTTATGTGTATGTTATGAAGGTTTTTCTGAAAAAATAAAACATATATATTTATTAAAAAAGACAGGATAATAATTAACCAGTTTTACATTTAAGAAAATTTAGCAGCAATAAATTGCATTAAGTCTAAATCTAGAAGCTGATTTTTTTTCAAAATTATTAAACACTTTACACAACAAAATTAAAGAGCATTGCATCTGATGAGAAATATTTTAAAAATGTTGCTTTAATTTCAAGCATTTATTTTTGTCTGAGCTTGTGAATTGTCCATAGGAATTATTAGCATGTTCCTATAATTGTCCTGAAAAAAATATGTATGAAAAAGTTTCTGTTAAACGGTGGGTCTGGTTGCTTTACGCTGCCGGCGCCGATTTAGTTTAAAACATGTTTGAAAAAAAAAGCAACAACAAAAAATCTTTCATTTTTTTTTACAAACTCAAAGGCGTTTTTATTTCAATTTTTAAAAGTGCACACTGACAGCAGCATTATGCAGAATATCCTGCAACACACTACACAATGTAAACAAGTCATTTTTAACACACCATTTTTTTCTTCCATTTGGATTATTTTTAAACTTTACTACTTTTAGGACCTTTACACAAAACAGAAGTATTTTAAACTATAAATTCAATACCAATAATAACAATAATATCAATGTTTTTATTTTACATTTAAAATTCTGCAAACAGTAGAGGTGTGCTGCTACATGTAGTTAAGGTTTACTTCCAGCTTGGCGCACACAGGCAGGTGCACACAGCCCACCGTGTGGTATCAGGTATCCCCCTTGGCCTAGGCCTCTCCCATTTGTCATGGTGAATGAGTGGTCTGCCTGACTGCACTTTCTCATTCCATTTCCTCCCGGGCTGCGCTGAGGCCCTACCACCCACTGTATGCTCCCATTTCTTTAACGCCTTTTCCATTCACATGAAGTGTGGGCAATAACGCTTTTTTCACATTCCTCCTTTTCAAAACCTCACATGCTACGGTCTCCCACCTCAGCCCACCTACTAGCAACCCCCCACCCCCAAAGTACACTGTACAAACACAAAAATAAATTGTTGATTGTCACACATGAAAAATGTATTGACTAATGATGATAATAATGATAATAATAATAACAACAACAACAACAATAATAATAATAATAATAATAATAATAATAATAATAATAATAATAATAATAATAGTAAGTTAACGACTCTCCTAAAAAAACAACATAAAAAGATAAAAATATTTAAACATGAATTGTGACAATGATAACATCACTTCAATTAGAAACAACAGTCACTAGTTAGATGCCCGTAAGCTTAATTATTAACCTGTCACCTCTCAGGCACTTTAAAAACAAAGATGTTAACACTCTTACCCACATCGGTCCATTTTAGCTCTGCTATTTGGCTGAGCAATCCAACCTATGCGCTAGAAGCCCCAACACTGAATCCACTGGTTCTTCTGCTGCTGAACGACACAACAGGGAATAAAAAACATTCTCTGATCTCACTCAATGAGAAAAAAAAAAGGGGGAAAAAAAGGAGTCTGAGCAGAAGCCATGCTAATTGTTGATTACTCTGAATCTTGTCCTTTGAAAAAATTCCATTTTCTTCTTTGAAAAACAAAACCAAAACTTATTCACTTATCATTAAATGTGGTGCGGGAAATAATTTTTATTTATTTTTTTCTTATAATAGGGTGTTGCATGTTGGTGGAAGGCCGCCACAGCAGTGAATATTGTGTCTCTCTCCAGTGTAGTTCAGCTGCAGTGTGAAGAGATTGTAGCACCATCTGCTGGAAATAGTAGAATCAAATGATGCAGTCTGGAATGTTAAGTTTTAAGAATCTCATGGGTTGTTTTCTCTTGGATTTTAAATGAAGTCGTTATTTATGTTTTTGTAATACACTGTGGATAAAAACACCAATGTAACTGGAAAAGACAGAAAAGGGTTACCCATCCTGTTACATCACCAAATTGCAAAGGTAAAAGTTCATAAAGTCCTTCTTACATTACATTCATAGCTTCAACTACAAGACATATAAACAGCTTTTTCTGCTCTTCGGTGAATCCTTTCGACAACTAATAATGGGTTAATCAGGCTGATTGCACATTTATCACTGCGATCTGTTTCTTTCACTGCTTTTTTTTTTTTTTTTTTTTGTCCTGACAAGGGGAAGTGTGTTTTACTTGGGAAATGAAATATTTAGTGACCTGCTCCTTTTGCCCCTTTAGCTGAAGACCGGGGCCTTACAGCTGAGTAAACAGCAGAGCAGAGCTGCTTAGTGGACAGGTAATGGCTAGCACCCATCTTCCCCCGAGCACTGACCAGTAAAATAACCCCCAGTCCAAATGTGAAACGTAAACATTAACTCTAATTTTTCTCTCAAATATAACTGGAAAATAATTGGGATAACATCACTTTTTTTTGCATCCTTGATTAAAACGCGTAGTTAAAGCAGGATAAATCTTTGAAGGAAACCGAAGAGCTCATCAGATGTTTCTTTTTTCTTCTGAATGTTACACTGATATTGCTGCTTCTCTCATTCAGCTGCAGCTTTTATCAAGTTTTTAGTTCTTTACATTAAGCATGCTTTATGTTCGGTGTTACTTATTAGTGGTTCATTGCCCTAAATGTTGTTTATAGTGTTGGAAAAAAGTCTTTGTCACCCAGTAGATTTGTCGTTACACTTAATTGTTTCAAATGAATCTGATTTTCATTCCAGACAAAGATAAAATGTTTTAAGTAGAAATAGTTACCCAAATGCATCTGGACATGTGTGTAAAATATTTCTGTGCTCCATAATAAATCTCTCATTACTGTTTTGCTTTTTGCTTGTTGTTTTTTTTTTTCTTCTTCTTTTCTTGCTTCACCCAGCCATGATTTCTGTTTCACCTGTATATTTAAAAGATCATCTGACAATCTTTTTCTCTTTATTTATTCATTATTTTACCAGAGAATCTCTTGAGGTAAAATCTGTTTTCCTGGGGAGACCGACGGAGAGGATGAGTTTACATTATAAAATAATAATTAAAAGGTACAGACAATCAAAAAATTCAAGACTTTTTAAGAATAGTTTCAAATTCATTCACGTAACTAGTGGGAATTTGAATGCCTTTTGCATGAAGTAGGCTAAAGGCAAACACTCTTGTCTTGATCTAAAGAAATCCAGGAACAAATTATTAGCATATCTGAGTCTACAAAGAGTCACAACGATATTTCACAAAGACTTTTGGAGAATTAGATCCACTATTCAGGAAGAAAGAGATAAACCCTCGAGAGAGTTGCTGGATAACCACATGTCCTCCAAGAGAGCATTGGTGACAAAAGAACTGAGAACAATATTTAAGACACTCCAGGTCTCTTCTAGCTAAATAAAAGTCAGTGTCTATTACTTGATGTTCAGAAAGGAACTAGGCAAAAATTCACAAGATTTTTGGGAAAATATGCTATGGACCAATAAGGCAAAAGTGTTACTTTCTTGAAGCTATGAGTCCTGTTACTGCTCGCATGAAATTAAGGTGGTATTTCAAGGGTCTGATTTGTTTCTTCAGGAACTGGATGACTTGCTGCAAAAGACATGACCATATATTCTGCTCTCTGGAAAAGTTCATAAGAGAATGTCTCACTGGCACTGCATAGTTCATAATCTTCTCTATCTCTGAATAGCAAAAAACAAACTGAAGATTTTTGAGTTGCCTTTTCAGAAGTAATGAAATGTGGTTAAATCACAACACTATGGCCTTAAATGTGTTGTTCATACGCCAAATCTTTCAGTGGCTAACACATTTCTATAAGCAGAAGTGGCCAAAAATCCTCCACAGTAATATTAAAAACTCATTACCTGTCATTCCAAACATTTGTTTGCAGTTGCTGTGACCAAGAATGGTAAAACTATTTATGAAGGAGCAACCCCTTTTTTATGTGGTCAAGGTTGTTTGAATATCATTGGAAACTGTTTTGTATTTACTCAGGTTGTCTTTCTCAGATCTTTCTGCTCCACATCAAAATTTCTGAAAGAATCTGAAACATTCAAATGTGACACAAAAGTGAAGTTTGCCGAAGATGTTTTACAAAAACAGAGAAGGCCTGTCACACACTAGGATTTAGGAGATTGTAGACTCCTTGACGAGAGCCATTTGTGTTGGTCTAACCAACAAGTTTGTGAATTTGCATTATCACTGTAATTTGCATTACAGTGCTAATTTGCTTACACATCTGTCAGTTTTTAGGCTTTCCTGATCTTGAAAAGAGAATGTTTTCGAAAACATGTTGGTTCATGACCTTTTTTTACTAATTAACTTCTAAAATTGACTTCCTTCACCCATCCAAAAAAAAAATGAGTGAAAACATTAATGACAAGCATGTCAGATCTGTAGCTGGGGATGTAACACACTGACTGAAATACATAAAAAACAAACAAGGTGAGAAGTTTTGGGCAGACTATCGTTGCATTGATTTCTGATAAGGTGACTAAACTTGTTCATCTTTGTGAGCAGAGGTCCGCTTAGGTTGGTGAGAGGCTGTACTTGGGTTTCTAGGTAAAGCTAAAGTGCTCACTTATTGCAACTTCATAATCAGGAGGTTTTGGAACCAGCTTGTTGACACCAAGACAACAAAGCATTCACTTATTGCCAAAACCCTTCTGTATTTTGTTTGGATTGTTTCTAGAAGTCATAGAGACCCGAATGCAAGTACAAAAATATACAGAAAGAGAGTTTTCCATAACAAGTCCACTTTAATCATACCACACAAAAGTACTGATTGTCTTTTGCAGACAATTAAAACGACCAAAAAGTAAACCACAATCAAAGACAAATTGCCTTTAATCACCATCAAAACACCTGCGTACTGACAGAAACTAAGGATTGATGGAGATAGATCGTGTGTGCCTGATCAAGGTCTATTGAATTCTGAGTCTCACACCCCATCCTCAAATGACCAGTCAGCACTAATGCACCCATATCGTGTCTATAAGTGTGAATTGATTTATATTGCTGAAAAGCATCCCCAAGACATTGAAAGAGCACCATTAGAACCCAATACCAATTATATATGTTTGTTTGTGTGGAAATGGCCACTCAGTACAGCGGATCAATGTGGGCCATCAAAGGTCAGTACAACACATTTCTGCTGAAAAGTTAGTGTGCCATGCAGCGGCTTGCCCTGACTGGAGAGGAGGTGTAGTAAAGAGGAACAGATAGATTGAAATAGGTATCTAACATGTGGAAAGCTCCACACTTACTTTTCAATACACTGGCGCAGATGTGCTTACGTCTCCAAAAGGCATCTCATTGAATCATTACAATGAATGGAAGGAAAACTGTCCAAATCCAAGGCTAACCGGGGTTTAAAGTGAGAAAGCTGAGACCCTCTCTGAGGGAACAGTCTGTCGATATTCATATGTAAATCTAATTAAAGATCATATTAATTACCTGGGCCAGAATGAATGTTGAATCTAACATCTGGCTAACCTGTCGAGAGAGTATATTCTTACCCAAGCATGCTTATAGATTGCTGTCTTTTATTTTTTCTCCTCTTTACTGCACATGTCTCTGAGGACCTCTTGAATCCATATTAATTTCCTCTCTTGCAGTTATGCTGGACAGGGTATGAGCTGTGCTGTTTCACTTTTAATCTCTCAGTAATTTAGTAATGTGTAAACAAATTGTGCTGCAATATTAATGTAATTGGTTCTTGGAGCTGTTCAGAAAAATCAATGTGTTTGCAGAGGATGCAGTAAATCGCACTGGGTTATTATAATCATGTGTCAAGGGCTGATTATGTTATGAAACTAAGAAGTAGATGGCAGTCACAGGTCAATACGACTCAGCTTCATAAAATCTATGCCTCTCAATTCATTAACGTGAAAGGAGTCAACGAGCTCTGTCTTCATTTCCTTCCCTTTTCCCCAGTTGACTGGCGGCTTCCTGCGTACGGCTGTGGTTTTCACAAGGCGAATAAAAACGGAACATAATATCAGACCATAATGTTTGAGATATTTTTGAAAAAAGTGTACAACATTGTTTATAGCTTACAATTAATGTACCGTTCACAAATACACAGATAACTGTCATCCACAGTGACTACTCTTGTCTTCAGACCATTAAAATGTCAAAATTTTTAAGGTTTTGTTGTGCTTCACCAGTTATGAGTTTTTTGCAATATCAGTGTTACTATGACATCTACTGTAAATTTTACACTTCTCACACATATGTGTGCCCCATATGTCTTATTTGAATCATTCCATTCTTGTGATTTATGAAGTTACTAAAACTTGAAAAGAACTGAAGTAGTGGTTAATGTATCAGGCTGTATATTAATTCAAAAAAATGTTTTTTTCTTTTTGAAACACTGTATAAAAGAAGTTTTCTTTCCACGTGTTTGTTTAGACCAGTGGTTCCCAATGATTTTCTGGGAACCGCCCCAAAAAATGAAGAAAGAAAAATCAACTGGGCACACACA